GCCATCCCCATCAAGCTACCAATGACTTTCTTCACAGAATTGAAAAAAACTAAAGTTCATATGGAACCAAAAAAAGAGCCCACATTGCCAAGACAATCCTAAGCCAAAAGAACAAAGCTGGAGGCATCACGCTACCTGACTTCAAACTATACTACAAGGCTACAGTAACCAAAACAGCATGGTACTGGTACCAAAACAGAGATACAGACCAATGGAACAGAACAGAGCCCTCAGAAATAATACCACACATCTACAACCATGTGATCTTTGACAAACCTGACAAAAACAAGAAATGGGGAAAGGATTCCCTATTTAATAAATGGTGCCAGGAAAACTGGCTAGCCATATATAGAAAGCTGAAACTGGATCCCTTCCTTACACCTTATACAAAAATTAATTCAAGATAGATTAAAGACTTAAATGTTAGACCTAAGACCATAAAAATCGTGGAAGAAAACCTAGACAATACCATTCAGGACACAGGCATGGGCAAGGACTTCATGTCTAAAACACCAAAAACAATGGCAACAAAAGCCAAAACTGACAAATGGGATCTAATAAAACTAAAGAGCTTCTGCACAGCAAAAGAAACTACCATCAGAGTGAACAGGCAACCTACAGAATGGGAGAAAATTTTTGCAATCTACTCATCTGAAAAAGGGCTAATATCCACAGTCTACAAATAACTCAACCAAATTTACAAGAAAAAAACAAGTCCATCAAAAAGTGGGCAAAGGATATGAACAGACACTTCTCAAAAGAAGACATTTATGCAGCCAACAGACACATGAAAAAATGCTCATCATCACTGGCCATCAGAGAAATGCAAATCAAAACCACAAGGAGATACCATCTCACACCAGTTAGAATGGCGATCATTAAAAAGTCAGGAAACAACAGGTGCTGGAGAGGATGTGGAGAAATAGGAACACTTTTACAGTGTTGGTGGGACTGTAAACTAGTTCAACCATTGTGGAAGACAGTCTGGTGATTTCTCAAGGATCTAGAACTAGAAATACCATTTGACCCAGCCATCCCATGACTGGGTATATACCCAAAGGATTATAAATCATGCTGCTATAAAGACATATGCACACGTATGTTTATTGCAGCACTATTCACAATAGCAAAGACTTGGAACCAACCCCAATGTCCATCAATGATAGACTGGATTAAGAAAATGTGGCATATATACACCATGGAATACTATGCAGCCATAAAAAACGATGAGTTCATGTCCTTTGCAGGGACATGGATGAAGCTGGAAACCATCATTCTCAGCAAACTATCACAAGGACAGAAAACCAAACACCGGATGTTCTCATTCATAGGTGGGAATTGAACAATGAGATCACTTGGACACAGGAAGGCAAACATCACACACTGGGGCCTGTCATGGGGTAGGGGGAGGAGGGAGGGATAGCATTAGGAGATATACCTAATGTAAATGATGAGTTAATGGGTGCAGCACACCAACATGGCACATGTATACATATGTAACAAACCTGCACGTTGTGCACATGTACCCTAGAACTTAAAGTATAATAAAAATTTTTTTTAAAAAGTCAAAAAAAATTATCCTAGATTTCCACCAGGATACAATAAAACTAAACTTGCCATGTATAGTAAAGTACAATCAAAAAGTCTTATAGCCTGAGCTTTAACTAAAATATATTATATATTAATTTCTAACTTTAGGGCCAACATTTTATTCCTTTATGCATGAACAAACAAAATTGATACCCCACAAGAACAGGCAACCAAAGCAAAAATGGACAAATGGGATCACATCAAGTTAAAAACCTTCTGCCCAGCAAAGGAAACAATCAACAAAGTAAAGAAACAAACCACAAAATGGGAGAAAATATTTGCAAACCACTCATCTGATGAGGAATCACTAATGAGAATATATAAGGAAAAAATCTAATAATCTGACATAAAAATGGGCAAAAGATCTGAACAGACATTTCTCAAAAGAAGACCTACAAATGGTAAACAGGTATCTAAAAAGGTGCTCAACATCACTGATTATCAGAGAAATGCAAATCAAAAACTACGATGAAATGTCATCTCACCCCAGTTAAAATGGCTTTTATCCAAAAGACAGGCAGTAACAAATGCTGGCGAGGGTGTGGAGAAAAGGGAACCCTGGTACGCTGTTGGTGGGAATGCAAATTCGTACAACCACTATGGAGAACAGTTTGGAGGTTCCTCAAAAAACTAAAAATAGAGCCAACACATGATCCAGCAATCCCACTGCTGGGTATATACCCAAAAGAAAGGAATCAGTATATTGAAGAGATATCTGCACTCCCATGTTTATTGCCAAGATTTGAAAGCAATCTAAGTGTCCATCAACAGACGAATGAATAAAGAAAATGTGGTATATATAAACAATGGAGTGCTATTCAGTCATTAAAAAAAAAAGAGAGAGACCTTGTCAGTTGCAAGAACATGGATGGAACTGGAGGTCATTATGTTAAGTGAAATAAACCAGGCACAGAAAGACAAACTTTGCATGTTCTCTCTTATTTGTGGGAGCTAAAAATGAAAAGAATTGAATTCATGGAGATAGAGAATAAAAGGATGGTTACCAGAAGCTGTGGGGGAAGGGCAGATGGCTAACGGGTACAAAAAAAAAAAAAAATAGACAGTAAGATCTAGTATTTGCTGGCACAATTGGGTGACTATAGTCAAAAATAATTTAATTGTACATCTTAAAATAACTAAAAGAATATAATTGGATTGTTTATTACACAAAGCATAAATACTTGGGGGAAAGGATACCCCATTTACCCTGATTACCCATTGCATGTCTGTATCTAATTGTCTCTTGTAACCCATAAACATATACACCTACTATATACCCACAAAAATTTAAAAAAGTTTTAAAGTCCTACATGGAGGGGAACATTTTTGATTTCTCACTTAGCATATTTGTAAATGAGAACTAGACATTGTTACTACAACTGTGCTAAATCTACTGTACCTAGGAAATATTTGAAGAACCATTTACTTTATTTCCATGTATACACAAGATGTAGCTTTCAGGGCTTCAGCACATAAATGCCCAGGCTTCATTTCACAGGCGACCTCAATACCTGAGGTGAGGGCAGCAAGAAGCAGGACGGTAAAGAGTGGGCTCTGGAGTCAGCCTTCCAGTTTTGAATCCTGCTTCTACCCAACTTAGTTTTCTTATCTGTAAAATGGGGATAATTTTAGTAATTACCTCATAGGGCTGTTAGAAGATTCAACTAGATAATCCCAATAGGTCACTTAGCACAGTCGCTGGCAAGCAATATGTGCTCTCCGAGTGATGACGGCAATGCTTATGACAACAATGATGGTGAAAATGATGACCATGACTACAATTAGTGACTCATTGGTAGGGACAGAGATAGGACAATCTGATAATGTAAATATAAATTTGAAAAGAAGTAACAAAAACATACTATACAAAATGGGTCCTGATTGAGGGTTCATTTTTGCTACTGTAAGACAATAATATCAACCATGTGAGTCATTCATTCATCATTCCCCTTTGCACACACTGTGACAAAATTCTGTTTTCAGTCTAATAGAATGTGAATTCTTTGAGAGAAAGAGTATATTGTATATTGACATGAATTTGTATCCAGGAAACCAGCATGGTACTTGAAATGTGGAAAGTAATCAACAAATATTTATTGATCTCTTTTATGCAACAATTACTGGCTGAGCATTGCCTGCCATGTGACCGGCACTGATGTGCTGGATGCTAAGGACACATGCCTGGCTCACTGGAGGGGATCAATGGAGGAACAAGTCGATCACACAAAGCCAGAATATTCTCTTTAATATGTCAGAACAGTAGAAATCTTGCCTGTCACATATAAATAAATCTGACTTATTTCCTGCGATGTCCACTCTTGATAGTCTGAGGCTAAGCTAAGAGAACTTACAGACTCCAAGAAGCCTCACCCAATGCTGGCTTCAATTGAGGAATGGAGCAGGAAACAGCACAGCAGGAGGAGCACTCCCAGAAGTCCAGGGGTTTGTTTTAAGGGCCTGAGCCACAGGTCAGATATGAGGGCCTGAGAACATACAGGTGGGTACAGAAGCCTCCCTGGCCCCTATATATCAGGAACTACTTCTACTGAGCCACGGCTCTCGGGTCCCAGCAAGCAGAGTGCCCCATTGCAAGTCAGGGCACCCACGAAGCCCGAAGCTATGCCTCCTCCCTGCACAGTCAGATTCACTCCTGGTCCTCCCTGTCCATATGCAGCTTACCAATCATAAGCCCTTCTTAGCATCAGCGGTGTTACCTGGTCACACAGCTAGCACTTCTAGCAGGTTTCCAGGATAACAGGGCTAGAAAGTTAACCCAAGATCATTTTGTTCATAGAGGAGAAAATGCTTTTGTTAACTTGTACTCCCAAGGCCCCATTCCTGACCCCCCTGAGCTTCCCAAATCTTATTAGAAATCACCAAGGAGAGGTTTCTGATGCACCATAAACTCATTGTATATGAGACTCATGTAATTCTCTCCTCTCTCCCTGCCTGACCTCTTATGTTCCCTATTTTGATGAAGACAGTCATTATCCATCCAATCCTCCCTTGCACAGACTCCTTGTCTTCCATTCCAATGGCCTCTTCCATTCCAAACTCCTGAGCTCTGAGAAAATCAGGGCTCTTCAGAACCTAAACCCGGTTAGCTCTAGCCGCTTCCACACACACGGAACCCTTTAGACACAGACTATTTGCCAGCATCATTAGAAAATACAGCCTTTGTTCAGATCTGGAATATCCTTCCACTCGTGGCATCTGTCCAAATAAGTCCTCAGACTCTTGAAAAACCAACTCGAGTGTCACCTCTGGGAAACCACAAATTAATCTCCAGTACTAACCAATCCCTCCCTCTTCTCCTGCAGCCCATATGAGGCCTGCGCTGCAGCACTGCCCACCTGACTGTGGCCGCCATTACCCACAGAGCTGCTGGTAGAAAGGAAAACGTGCCTTACCCATATTGTTTCCCCAGAGCTATGGGCGCGTCTCTGCACACAGCGTACCGCACAGTCCGCGAGCTTGAATCCAAATGGGAGCATTGAAGCTGGACCTTAAGACATAGGTGGAACTTCAGACAGGCAAACAAGGGGAAAAAAAGGCCCAGACAGTGAAGACACATTTGGGGAACAGAGAGTCTACTTTGCTGACACGTGGATTCTTGGACGCAAATAAACATTCAAGATTTGCTGTGATCAGGTCCCGACCTAAGAAACTGAATCTTCATTCAGTAGGAAATGGTAGTAACTCACTATTGAAACTATGCAAGGGACTTTTCTAATGTTTGAAAGGTTGCACCACAATGCAGTCCCCTAGGTATGATTATTTCTAAATGATAAAATGCATAGATACTTAAGTAACAAAAAAAGTTTTCTCAAATCAAGGCTATAAAAGCTCAACAAAGGGTGTAGTGTAAAAAGTAGTAGGACTGTTGTATGTGATTTCAACTATCCTAATACATGGCCTTTTAAATGAAGGACAATTTTCAAGGCTGTATAGTGTGTGCCAACAGATCTATACGAATGTCATCTTTGACTTCTGAAGCTCCCTTCATGCCCTGTTATCACAGAGCATCAGTCATTAATATGAGGTTATGAAGACCTGGTGATCCAAAGGCACAGCTCGCCACTGAATGACAAATGAGGGGAGCTGGGGCAACCAACATGCCAAATAATACAAGGATTTGCTGTCAAATTCAAGCAGTTGGAGGCTAAGAAAAATACTACACAAGACCAAATGTACTCTTTCCAATTCTCATGTTTTTGGAAATGAACAATAAAAATTATTCTATGTGATTATAACCTTTCCTTCTTCCTTCCCCCATTTTGCCAGGAACAGACTGACATTCCAACTAATCAACCCCAGAATCGTTTTTACACACCTCGTATGTTAAGAGTATTCTCTCAGACACTGTAAGGCAAAGAGGGAAAGAAAATACTTACAACAAAGTTCCTGCCATGGAGAAATATGTCTCACTGGAAATAAAATGGGAAAAGTTAAGAAATAAAATTGGGAATATTTCCAAGATGCGTCATTGAACAAAAAAAGCAAGGTGCAAGCTAATGTCTATATAGTTTGCTCCTATGTGCATAAAAATGTCTATGGGATATACAGATGTCTGTATGAAAATTTTCTGAATGATACACAAAAAGTGTTACTGCCAGCCAACATGATGGCACTTGCCTGTGGTCCCAGCTACTCAAGAGGCTGAGGTTGCTTGAGTCCAGGAGTTCTGGGCTCTAGTATGCTATGCCAGTAGAGTGTCCACACTAAGTTCAGCAACAATATGGTGACCTCACAGGAGCAGGGGACCACCAGGTTGCCTAAGGAGGGATGAACCCGCCCAGGTCAGAAATGAACCAGGTTTAAATTCCTGTGCTGATTAATAGCAGGATGACACCTGTGAACAGCCACTGCACTCCAACCTGGGCCACATAGCAAGAGTTGGTCTCAAAAAAAAAAAAAAAAAGTTGCAGATGTTCATCTCTGGAGAGAGGGTCTGGTCGGTGGGTTCAGAAACACATTTTTAATTCTACACCACCTTATACTGTTTGCTTACCATGTGTATGTGTGTATGTGTTTCTTTAATTTTTAAAAATTTTAAATACTACAAACTAAAGCAACACCACAAAGTAATACATAATTACACAGCGAGTGAATAGGAGAGAAACCAACATTTATTGACGACCTTGTAGGAGCCAGGCATAACTCCCTACCACCTCCCACTCATGACAGCCTCACGGGTGTGGTTATGATGTTTCTGGCCCCTGGAAACCAGCCTGCAACCTCTCCTCATGCTGTTCTGCCACCTCAGGCAAACCCACAGTTGGCTCTGGCTCTGAGCTTTTTCTAGCATATGGGATGTGGCCGAATTTGGATGGTTTCCCAGGGAGGGTAAATAGCGTGTTGGAGATTGAGTTGAAACAACCAAACTCCTTTTTAGCAAGCCAATAGGATCAATCCCGGGCCTGTAAAGTACCACCCAAATCGTTTGTAGTTCCTTTGACTGCTTCTTTCATCTTGAAAGCTATGAAACAAACATATCCTTTACAACTTAATATATGCTGCTTTCAGAACGATTTACCCCATGTGGAAACCAAATATGCAGAGCTTGCTCACTTTATTTCTGTGGATGGAAGGAAGTGCTTTCTATTAATATCATTGTTAATAAAAACAAATGAAACATATGACTTCTATGAATTACAGTGCATGTATATTTTTATGAAACTTTTATCTAATACTGCCCTCTGGTGGACAATTCAGTAAAACTTGTGCTAAAAATAGATTTTTTAAAAATTTAAGTTGCCATGTCAAGGCTAGAAAATTAAGTCTTAAGATGTGTTTTAAAAGAGAACAAAATAAATATAGGCATATCTTTTGAAATTAGATATTTACCACTTAGCAATCATTTCAGTTACTTCTGTCTTCCATAAAATGGTGACTTTGTCATTATTTTCTTAAATATTTACTTTGCTGGGAAAGCTTTAACACACAAATATAGACTATTTTCCAAGGGAAACCTGAGTTAACCTCAAAAGACCCAACAATTTTTTTAAATGTATACTCTTTAATAAAAGTTACATCTAGAGCTCTCTGGATATGCATAATCCTTTTTTTTTTTTTTTTTTTTTTTTTTTTTTTTTTTTTCGCACTGTCCGAGACAGAGTCTCACTCTGTACGACAGAGTCTCACTCTGTCGCCCAGGCTGGAGTGCAGTGGCCTGATCTCAGCTCACTGCAAGCTCCACCTCCCGGGTTCACGCCATTCTCCTGCCTCAGCCTCCTGAGTAGCTGGGACTACAGGCGCCCGCCACCTAGCCTGGCTAGTTTTTTGTATTTTTTAGTAGAGACGGGGTTTCACCGTGTTAGCCAGGATGGTCTCGATCTCCTGACTTCGTGATCCGCCGGTCTTGGCCTCCCAAAGTGCTGGGATTACAGGCTTGACCTACCGCGCCCGGCCAGTTCTGAGTTTTCATATTGTTGAACCACAGCTTGAAAGTACAGCTTTTACAACGCAAGGGCATTTCAGCAAGAAAGCAGGAGGAGGCCTGGGTTTGGTATTCCTCCTCCGGACTTATCAGCAGCCACTCAGAAATGCTTTTGCTTTTCTGCCTCATTGCCTGAAAGTCATTCATCATTTAGTTTAATATAAATGGGGAGCCAAACATATATACACAGCCAAGTTTTCTATGCTTTACAAATTATCATTTTCCAGCCAGGTCATACTGTGTATTTACAGTATACTTCTACCATCCTCACCCCGTGCCTCCACCCTAGAAGGCCAGATTACTTTACCCAAACCTTCACAGAGCTATTCTTAACCCTACTGCCTACATGCACAGGAGGAGGAAGGAGAACCCATGGGAGCTGAGCAACCTTCCAGCGCCTGGGGCAGAATCTCTGCAGCCGATCCCAACTCCCGTTCCCATGCCTCATCCCCTAGATGGCTTTGACACCCTACCCATGCAAAGACAGGGAGAAAAAAATACGTTTAAAATCTCAAAGACCGTGCGTTTGGCATAGCAAGCTCTGCTCCACTTACCTTTCTAAGCTGAGGTGCTCGGCGTCCTGTTGCCTGTGACCTCCTCCCGCGCTGACCTACGGTAGCTCAGATGTGCTCGGATGGCTCAGGTGAGCCCCGCACACTGGAGGAGGTACCAGCGGGGCGGCGCTGATGCCCTGCTGCTCCCCAGGGACGTTCCTCCCGGTAGGAGGTGAGGTCAAGGTGAAAACACAGCTGAGCTCAGCCAGTGCCCCAAAGTGGCCTTCACAGCCTTACACCCAGCTCAGCCACCCAGCCTCACACTCCAAATTCAGTGTTATTTACCCTGTCTCAGCCCACCATCCCCGTCCTCCTTACATTCCACATTTAAAATTGCAAAAGCGTAAGTAAACACCACAAGGACACCCTTTGTTTGAAAAGTGTGATTTTTGACATCCAAGAAGGAAAGCAGAAATAACTTGGAGAGAATTCAGATTCCCATAGCACAGTTTTAGGAGAGATTCCTCAGTCGACCTGCCTGGGCCCCACCCACCCAGTCCCAATGTAATGCTCCCTGAGTTTCCTGCTATGCAGCTGTTATTATCGCTTCTATTATAAAACGCTTTCTCTTAACTTACAATTATCACCCCTTTCATCTTTGCTGAGGGGGTTCCCTTTGATCCAGAGGGTGGCTTCTCCCTGCTGTGAGCCTGGAGACCGCAGTCAACCGGTATTGCTGCCACACTTTCTTAAACTTTTCCAAATATTTTGATCTGTCCTTCTCCGGCTCACTTTTTCTTGCTGGGAGAAACACATCCAGGGGGGAAGTGCTGCATGTGAACCAAGTTTATTTTTTTTCAGCACAAACACCTGTGATAAGATGGCATGGACTTTAAAAATATATAATGGATAAAATAATGCCTTGCACACGTTTTACTTAAAGCAGAAAGAGGAGAGGGAGTGGGGTGGAAGAGAAAGAAGGGGAGGGGTGAGAACAATGAGAAAGGAAGACGGAGAAGGAGAGAGAGGGAGAGAGAACCTTCTCGCATCAGGCCACCTAGGAATAAAGGCAGGAAGAACCCTCAGGCCTCTTCTCCATAATCTGTGGACCAGCTGCACACCATGCAGGACCCAGTACAAAATGAAAATGAGTGGCCTTTTGTTCAAAAATGAGGAAGAATTTCAAATGGCAGCAGAGCATCAAACTAAGAATGAGTTCTAAGTCCTCTTCGACTCTGCTACACCAATCCCACGCCCACGAAGCCAGCTCTGCTTCCTACCAGAAATCAAACAGCAGCAGCCTTGCTGTATGAGCTACTATTTTAGATTTTTTTTTTCTCCATTGTGGACAGCCCGGCGAGGGTGACTGGCTGGTCCCGGTTTGCCCGGGACTATCCTAGGTGTAGCAGTGAAAAATCCCACATCCTGGTATTCCCCTTAGTCCCAGGCAAATCAAGACAGTTGGTCAGCTTCCCCTGCTGTATGGACCTGTTTTAATGACAAAGCTATCCTCTGACTTTCCACGGCTCTTAACTCCTTCATGTCAGAACCAGCAGTGGTTTTAGGCCAGTCCCCATCTCTGTAGCTGGTAGGAAGTTACTCCAGTGCCCACAGATTTATTCCTTTATTTATCATGTCCCCAGACAGGAGGCTGCTGAACCATGATTCTGAGCTCATGTGTGTCAGAAGGATGACAATGGTGTTCATATGAAGCAGAACCTGTTAGACGTTCCTGTAACTCAACTTTAGGAAGAAAACTGCATTTCAGGGTTTGGTGGTGGTACATTTCACCATCTTTTTGTTTTAAGGTGTGATAATACCCTAATGATTGTGTAAAATGTTGTCTGTCTTAATCACGTATTATATAATGTCTGTCTGTGAAACAAATTATTTTTTAATTCATTAAAATTAACACAAAACATACCCATGTAAACCTAATGAACTGCCATTTTGTTCTGGAGGGACAATATAAGCTAAAAATTGAACTTCACAGGCTCATTTATTGTTAAACATGAATGGAGCCTGGGCATAGTGGCTCATGCCTATAATCCTAGTGCTTTGGGAGCCCAAGGCAGAAGGTTCACTTGAGCCTAGGAGTTCAAGACCAGGCTATGCAACACAGGGAGACCCCATCTCTACAGAAGAAAATTAGCCAGGCATAGTAGCACACACCTGTAGTCCTAGCTACTCAGGAAGCTGAGACAGGAAGGTTGTTTCAACCCAGCAGTGTGAGTCTGCAGTGAGCCAGGATCCTAGATGCAGAGTGAGATCCTATCTCTAAAATAACACAAAAAAATTTAAAAATTACTTGAGCACTCACCAAGCACTTTGCTGGGCCTGGAGATATCTTGATGAATACAGTGCCATCTCCTCCTTGGAACTGCTTATAGGTTAATACTTAGATGTTCTTACTAATGTACTAATGCCAAGATTAGTCCACTTCCTCCTTACACAGTTACTCAGCCATGCTTGAGTTTGCCTGCTGCTCCCTACTTCATAATTTCTCCCCACATAGTTAACAGTCAATGCTTCAGTTAATGTTCTGGCATATTTTTCACTGAGAAAATAGATGCCATTGGCCAGGCACAGTGGCTCACACCTGTAATCCCAGCACTTCGGGAGACCATGGCAGATGGATCACCTGAGGTCAAGAGTTCGAGACCAGCCTGGCCAACATGGAGAAACCCCATCTCTACTAAAAATACAAAAATTAGCCAGGGGTCGTGGCACACGCCTGTGATCCTAGCTACTCGGGAGGCTGAGGCAGGAGAATCGCTTGAACCCAGGAGGTGGAGGTTGCAGTGAGCCAAGATTGCACCATTGCACTGCAGCCTGGGCAACAAGAGCAAAGCTCTGTCTCAAAAAAAAAAAAAAAAAAAAAAAATAGATGCCATTGCCCAGAACCTCCTGAAGCCTCCCAAAATCAAATGGACCAACCTACCTACCTTCATCCATTCCCAGCTCTGCTGGCCTGCTTCCTGTAAGCCCCAGTGCAGAGCTAGGTCCCATCATAGTCCAGTCCTCCACCAGATATTCTGCAGTCCATCCCTCTTGCCTCCTGAAGGACTTACCTTCTAGAGCCAAACTACTTTGAAGTAATTTTTTCCATCTTGCAGTTCACCTTCCAAAAAAGGTGGTTGTCAAAGTGTGGCCTCTAACCCATCAGTATCAGCATCACCTGAGACTTGTTAGAAATACTAATACTTGGGCTTTGGTGACTCATGCCTGTAATCCCAGCACTTTGGGAAGCTGAGGCAGGAGAATTGCTTGATGCCAGCCTGGGCAACAGGGCAAGACCCCCACTCTCCATAAAAGAAAGGAAATTAGCCAGGCATGGTGGTACATGTCTGTAGTCCTGACCTAGCTACTCAGGAGGCTGAGGCAGGAGCACTGCTTGAGCCCAGGAGTTCGAGGTTATAGTGAGCTGTGATCACACCACTGCACTCCAGCCTGGGCAACAGAGTAAAAGCTTCTCTCTAAAACAAATTAAAAATTAAATTTAAGAAAAAAGATCCTCTGGTGTTCTTGATGTATGCTAAAGCTTGACACCTGTGGATCTACGGCTGAAACTCCTCAATGTTCCTCCACGCCACCTCTGAGGTGACCAAGGCAAGGTGGCTAGATCCCTAGGACCCTAATGAGAGAGCCTGCTGGAGCAGGCTGGAGGCCGCTGTCCTCAGCCCTCTCCCGATCCTATTTTTATTAATGACTTGGATGGAAGTACTGAGGGCACGCTGATCTCATTAACAGATGACAGAGAGCTGGATGGGATAAAGGAGATGTTGAATGATGACATCAGGGACCAAAGACACAAAGTGACAGTCCAAATCTATCAAGATGAAACTTAATAGGGGATATTAGTTAGAATTAGTTTCCACTTTGAGTGACAGAAAACCCAAAATAGCACTGGCTTATTAAGATAGAAATTTATTTCTCATTCACATAAATGAACTCTGGAAGTCTCAGGCCACAGTCAATGTGGTGGCTCTGTTCCCTGGAGTTCCGGGGATTCAAGCTCCCCATCCAGCTCACTGCTCCACCATTCCTACCACCTCTTCCTCAAGCTGAACATGGAGACATCCACGTTCCAGAGAGCACGAAGGAGGAAGGATGGAGAACAGGGTCCATTCTTGCTGATTTTTGAGGGTTCCACATGCTACCGCTATGCTTCCGCATGCATCCTATTGGCCAAAGCTATGCCTATTGGCACAGTGGTAATGGACACTGAGAATTGTAGTCTTTATTTTTCTAAGCAGCTCAGCTAAAAAAGCTATTACATGGACAAAAGGGAGAACAAATATTGGGACACAATAAGCAGTCTCTGCCAACGAAAGCAAAAATAAAGCCCGTCAGGCTGAGTGTGGTGGTTCATGCATATAATCCCAGCACTGCAGGAGGTCATGGTGAGAGGAAGAAGCCAGGAATTCAAGAGCAGCCTGAGCAACCTAGCAAGACCCTGTCTACAAAAACAATAAAAATTAGCCAGGTGGCCAGGTGCGATGGCTCACACCTGTTATCCCAGCACTTTGAGAGGCTGAGGCAGGCGGATCACGAGGTCAAGAGATCGAGACCATCGTGGCCAACATACTGAAACCCCGTCTCTACTAGAAATACAAAAATTAGCTGGACGTGGTGGTGCACTCCTGTAGTCCCAGCTACTTGGGAGGCTGAGGCAGGAGAATCGCTTGAACCCGGGAGGTGAAGGTTGCCATGAGCCGAGATCACGCCACTGCCCTCCAGCTGGCGACAGAGTGAGACTCGGAGACTCTGTCTCAAAACCAAAAAAAAAAAAAAAAAAAATTAGCCAGGCATGTTGGCATGTACCAGCTACTCAGGAGGCTGAAGCAGGAGGATCTCCTGAGCCCAGGAGTCTAAGGCTGCAGTGAGCTACAATCATGCCACTGCACTCCAGCCTGGGCAACAGAGCAAGCAAGATCCTGTCTCAAAGCAATTAAAAACAAATAAACTAAAGCCCTTCATACACTCCCTAAAATGCAAACGCCGCTCCAAGGTTTTGGTGTTAAAGAAGGAGATAGGGAGTAATAACCACACAAGCAGTCCTCAGCTGTTTCCGTGTGAAGACAGAAAACACAAGCCATACTGGGTTTTAAGGAAAAAGAGAAGATGTGGGATACATAACTGACATTTCCAGAAACAGTAGTAGCTTCAGGATTATCTCAAATGATGTC